TCCTTCTTGTTCCCCAGGACCAGAACTCTTCAGTCCCGGCTCTCCTCTTGCCCTGTTCTAGCCCAGTGATGGTCCTTATTTGCTTGTCTGAAGTGATCCTGTGCCAGGTTTCTGGTTTAAAACAAACAAATCCTCATTAAACGCCCATGTAAATGGGCAGTCCGCGTGGATGGAAACAGCCACATACTGCTTCTCAAGGAGAAGCCGCAGCCGGCGAACCAGTTGGAGCCGCTGAGGGAAATCTGTGTCTCCATCTGTAGATCTGGATCTACCACTGTTGTGAGCCTGGACTCTGCTCCTGGAAGAGGCGTAGGACGGCCTACTGGAGCAAGGCCCCTATCCCAGCTACTCCCAGGGAGGGAGGAAAGGGCCCTGCGTGGTGGAAGGCGGACAGGAGGACTCCTTGACTAGCACCCCTCTGACGAGGATTGCCGGATGCAGGTTCCTGGAGACTGGGGGGTGAGGGGTTTGGGGAGGGGAAGGACCTCTGCCGGGTCTAATGCCAGAGAATCCATTCCCCAAAGCAGCCATTTTCTCCGGGGGGGCTGATCTCTGCAGTCCGGACGGCGGTTGTAATTCCCACCGGGAGGCTGGCAACCCTGCGAGTCCCAGGCCTCTTTTTGTAGAAAAAGCCCAGCAGGAACTCATTAGCATAACAGGCCACACCCAACAGCAGAAACTCATTAGCATAGTAGGCCACACCCTGACAGCACAGCACATTAGCATATTAGGCCACACCCCCATGTCACCAGAAGTGTTGTCATCCAGCCACACCCACCTTTTGCTCCTTATTCTGTTTACCTTGTTTGTTGTCAAAACCCAGGGCCTTTTTTTGTAGCAGGAACTCCTTTGCATGTTAGGCCACACACCCCTAATGTAGCCAATCCTAATGAGTTTCTGCTGTTGGGTGTGGCCTGTTATGCTAATGAGTTCTTGCTGGGCGTGGCCAACTCAGGAGCCAGCCGGAACGTTCCTGCCCCAAAATAGCCCTGCCTGCGACCCTGACCGACAGTTTTATCTGGATTGAGCTTCAGTGTATTTGCTCTCGTCCATCTTTTTACTTGGTGATCTTTGGAAGGAAGGAAGGAAGGAAGGGAGGAAGGGAGGGAGGAAGGAAGGAAGTCACAGGGAATAAGATTTGACACCCTGAAGGGTGAATGACTGTCCCTTCCCGTAGCTCCATCTTTTGGAACCAGTCACCCCCATAGTGCTCGAACAGTTGAAGGACAGCCCGATATCCAAGCCAACCAGCCTATCCAAAAGAATTTCATGATGGGCAGCATCAAAAACTGCTGAAAGATCCCGGGGGACCTACTGGGACCAATGTTCCCTCTAAGCTGTGGAATTTTGTGAGCAAAAATTCTACTTTGTGAGCTACTGGCATTACAGTTGTGAGCGAGCCATTTGGCTGCTGCATAAATTAGTTTGCTCTGGAGCCCTCCTTCCTAAGCGAAGACAAAAAATGTGTGAGATGGAGGTTAAAAAACCGTGCGCTAGCTCACACACTAACAGCTTAGAGGGAGCACTGACTGGGATTCACTCCCTCTGTCCTTCCCTTGGTTAAGGGTCATCCATCCGGGCAACCCAGACAGCATCACCCATAACCTGGCCCATGTACCCATCAAATACTCCACACTGTTTGAGAGGGATCGAATCCTCCCATTTTGTCCAGCCTGGTCCAGGTGATACAAGCCAGGTCAGCTTTCTCGTCCAGCATGCAATCCCGGCTGATGGATGATTTCACCAACCTGGAATATAACAAGCACTTTTGAGCTCTGTGTTGCCGATCTATCAGGGTAACAAAGGCTCAGAGAGATTCAGGTGGGGTCGCTGTGATGTTCTGAAGCAGGAGAAGAAAGTTGGCATCCGGTGGCACCTTTCAGACCCACAAAGTTTTATTCAAGGCGGAAGCTTTTGTGTGCCTCTTCTTCGGAGAGGAACCAACACCAACCGTCTGGATGGCCTCCCCCTTATCTGGTTTGTCTGGTCACTCTCCCACTGCCCGAGATGACCCAGATAGCGCCTCCCCCCACCCCAAGGCTCTAGCGTATAAGCATGGATAACTTGACAACTCCCCCCCCTTCACACACACACACACACACCAAAATAACTGGCCCTTGCCTTGAGCTATTATCTCTTTTGGCAGCTGGTCCATCCCAGGGGGCTGGGACAGGCGGCTTTGGGGTCAGATGTCAACAGGTTTGAATACCAGGTTGGGTTCCTTTGTCGGTCCTCTGGTGCTGCTCACACGGGGAGGGGCAGGCTGAGGGCCATGTGGGTGCAAGGGGGTGGGGTGGGGGTTCCATTCCACTAGTTTTTGGAGAGGGGTGGTGGAAAGACATGAAACTGAAGACGGATGTTCAGGCAAAGCAAAATTAACTTCTTGTGCAAACCCACAAGGGGTTTAATGTGTACGATGCTGATGGTGTTTGATTCCGTTTGGATCTGCTACATTCAAGTCCGGGGGACCTTGGAGACTAACAAGGTTTTCAGGGTACGAGCTTTGTCCGGGGGACTTTAGCTGTCCGACTGCAGACCGAACACGGCTGCTCTCTGAAACGATCACTTGAATCTGTTAACTTTCAATATGGGAATTTTACAGGCTCGTTTTGAGTGGTTTAAGAACGTGTTTACCCATCTCAGAGATTCGGGACAGAGCAGCCTGCACATTTTAAGTAAGTGGTAAAGACCAAGAAAGCTGGAGACAGTTTTTGCCAGGGATCGCTGCTTGTGTTACGTAAACGCCGTTTGGTAAACAGGACTTGCAGGTTTTAAATCCCCCTCTCCCCGAAACCTGCAAAACTTGTTTGACCAAAGAGGACGCTGTGGAAAAATAAATGTGGTGCACACTGTCGGAAGGAAAGCTCACAAGCCACTTTTAGCCTTATTAGGAAAAACTAGGAAGAGACCAGACCATGGGGCTGTCAGTGGCATCAGTGAATGAATGGAACCTCCACATTCAGAGGCAGTCAACCTCTGAATCAGGGGAAGGTCTCGCCCTCTGTGCCCTGTTGTTGGCCCAGAGGGACTGGTTGGCTGCTTTGTGGGCCAGATAGACCCTCACTGGTCTAATCCAGCAGGGCTCTTTATATTCTTATGACCTTCTCAGAATAGAAGGGAACTAGTGGACCCGGACCCGGGGTCTGCATCCAAGCTGTTGACGGTCTCCATCTCATGCAGAAGATTTATGAGGAGTCTGAGCAGTCAGTATGGGAGAGAAAGGACCTTTGGCCTCGATTGGCTGTTAACGGGACGGGTTCTGTCTTCCTCTGAGTCTGAATTCCGATGTGTTTGACGGGAAAACTGACATGTGACAGAGTAAATCAGAAACATGTGTCCAGCATTTCGCAATCTCCAGGAGGTGCGCGTCGCCTGTACTTCTCCAGATCTTAACTGAGCCCCCGAACTTGCTTCAGCGGCAGCCTCATCTTTGAAGCTTATCGGTCACAGTCACATCTTGCATTTGCATCGATATTGCATTTAAATCCCTCCTGGGGCTCAAGGCAACTTCTCGAAGGTTTCGGGAAGTCTCCTGCCTAGGCACTGACCAGATGCAGAATCGCTCAGGTTTGGCAAGACGGTCACTTTGTGGGGGGCCCTGCTTCTGTGTCCCAGTGCACGTGCAAAGTGCCTTTTCCTGACCACTGAGTACTCATAGCCGAATCCCTGCAAGCATTCACTTTCAGGCAACAGTGGGCTTTGGCCTTTTTTTAATTGTAAAAAAGAAACAGCACGGTGGATTCCCTTCCTCCCGGCGTTGCTTCATCCGGTGCAGCAGACGCCACTGTTCCCAGAAAGCCCGGTGCTCGTGGCTATCAGCCCCGTCCATTGAGCTTTCACGGGTGAAGCAGGGATTCGAACGTTGCCCACTCCGCTGCTTGCCAAAATCCTGGCTGGAGCGCAGGGCTCCTTCCCCTTCCGCTCCCCCGCAGGGCCGTAGCCAGGAGTTTGTCATTCAGGGGGGCTTTAAATAAGTCGGGGGGGGGCAGTGACATCACAAAATAAGAAATAAAAATAAAATTTTAAAAACTCACTTTTGCAGCATTCGCAGTCTGCTTGCCTACGCAGGGAAGCCAGCTGCGCTTGGGGAAGGAGCGGCGGTGGGGAGTCCTCCGGGTGGCCCAGAGAGTTGGGGGGCCTGGGGGCTCCATGGAAGCCAGGGGGGCTTGGCTTTTTTTTAATTTTTTTTTAATTTTTAGTAAGTATTACATATTGTCTTTTTACCCGCACATTTCGTGTTGCTTTTTAGCCCTCCCCCCTCTGTTATTCCAGTGCGTTAGTCCTTTATTCCCAGCCACGGGCACAAAGTCCGGATCTTGTCCTGAATGTCTGTTCCTCCTTCTGTTGGTAGCCATTCCAAGTAGGTCTTCCATTTCTTCCTAATTCCTGTGCTCTTGTCTTCCCATGTGGTCTTCCGATGCAATTTCTCAATTAGATCCGACTGTATGAAATCAAACAAATAATTGTGCCAGGTTTCTACAGTCCACTTACTCTTGTCCTTCCAGCCTAGAGCGATCACTGCTTTGCTTGCTAGTATCATGACTTTAAACATAGCTTGGTACTAAGAACATACATAAGAACATAAGAGACGCCAATGTTGGATCAGGCCAGAGGCCCATCCCGTCCAACACTCTGTGTCACACAGTGGCCAGAAATACCAGTGCCTTTACTCTTTACTTACTGCTGGGTTCCCTAATATACCCATTAGCCTTAAATTAAAGTTACTGGTCAGTGAAACTTTACATATTCTTTTTATAATTTGTAATATTTTTGTCCAAAATACCCTAACCTCTGGACATTCCCACCACATATGGGAAAACCATCCCTTAGCTTGTTTGCAATGCCAGCACCTAGGACTCATTCCTGGGAACATATTTGCTATCTGCGCTGGTGTTTTATACCATTTTGTAAAGAATTTATGCTCCATTTCATTGTACAGGCCACTGTAGCCACGGGCCTGCTCCCCCATGTGGCTGACTCATTGGCTTGTGCCCCTGCAGGTTCCAGAACGAGGGGGGCTATGTCCTGTACCCCCAGATCGGCGACCGCCTGGACCTCATCTGCCCACGCTCGGTGCCGCTCGGCCCCTTCTCCACAGAGGACTATGAGTATTACAAGCTCTACCTGGTCCAGACGGAGCAGGCAGAACGCTGCGAGATCCTTCGGACCCCCAACCTGCTGCTGACCTGCGACCGGCCCGAGCAGGACATGCGCTTCACCATCAAGTTCCAGGAGTACAGCCCCAACCTCTGGGGTCACGAGTTCAAGACCAACCAGGACTATTACATCATCAGTAAGTTCCACACTTTTTTTGGGGGGGGGGAACAGGGACCTTTCTATATGTTGTCCAAGGCTTTCACGGCCAGAGTTCATTAGCTGCTGTAGATTTTCCGGGCTGCGTGGCCGTGGTCTTGCCAATATAAGGCCTGATGTTTTGCCAGCAAGCTGTGACTGGCATCCTCAGAGGTATAACACAGAAACACGGAGGACTCTCTGTGTCAAGGTGAGAAGGAAAATGGTAGGCGGGTAATTTATATCTACTTAGGAAGGTGGGGTAGGGCTGAGTCCTCCATTAGCATGTTCACAGTCTGGGGAACTCCTACAAAATATTGACTCAGCCCTACCCCACCTTCCTGAGTAGATATAAATTACCTGCCAGTATTTTTCTTCTCACCTTGACACAGAGAGTCCTCCGTCTTTCTGTGTTATACCTCTGAGGACGCCAGTCACAGCTGCTGGCGAAACGTCAGGTCCTACAATGCCAAGACCACGGCCACGCAACCCGGAAAATCTGCAACAGCTAAGGGACCTTTCTTCTTCTGTCCTCACCAACAGCTGAGAGTGAAGCCGCATCCCAGTTTTGTGGGGCTCCGGGATGTGCATGTGGGTGGCAGGGAAGCTCAGGTGGGGGCAGTTGCAGCGAGGGCCCCTGGAAGCCCTGGGCCCCGGCCCACCTCAGCTTATACGGAAGCTGGCCCAGGCTGAGAGCTGTCAGTTGTGGTGTCGTGGTTAAGTGCGCAGACTCTAATCTGGGAGGACCGAGTTTGATTCCCCACTCCTCCACTTGCAGCTGCTGGTGGATGACCTTGGGCAAGCCATAGTTCTGTCAGAGCTGTCCTTGAAAAAGAGCAGTTTCTGTCCGAGCTCTCTCAGCCCCACCTACCTCAGAGGGTGTCTGTCGTGGGGAGGGGAAGGGAAAGGAGTTTGGAAGCCGCTCTGAGACTCCCAGAGAAGGGCAGAGTATAAATCCAGTCTTCTCCTCCTCCTCCTCCTCTTCTTCTTCTTCTCTTGTCCCGACGTCCAAACCCCCAGAGTGCACATGTCCCAGGCCTGAGGCGGGCCTTATAGGTCTTTTGCTCTTCTCCTGGCATGCCCCACAACAGTCTCTAGCAGGCCCCAGAGGTGGCTGAAGGCAAATTTGGAGGAATGGGGAGGCAGGGCCGAACCTTGTGAAGACTCGGCCAAGAGAATGTGTCTGTGTGAGAGAGGCCGAGGGGGCCTCCAAAGGCCGGGATGGCTGGAGGAGGTGGCAGGGGGAGAGGGGAAGCCACGTCCGAGGAGTCCCCCTTCCCAGAAGCCACCTGGGTTAAAGCGACACCGATGGGAAGGAGAGACTGAGGCATTCAGGGAGAGCCGGGAGATGGCGAATTGCTTGTTTTCCCTCTGGGAGTGAGGGAGAGGGGGACATTTGGGATACGGGGCCGGGGGGGGGGCAATGCTTTCCTGGAAAGGAAGGTGAGAGGGAGTGAGTCTCGCAGCCCCCTTCCGCCATCCCGTCTTCCCCCCTCCCCATCCCACAGCATCCCCGTCACAGCAGCTCCGGATGCCTGGGGTGGCCCTTCAGCCATCGCCATGGCAACTGTCTCCCGGCAAACCTGCGCGAGCCGGCAACTTGGCTGTACCACGGCAACCATGATGTGGTAAGCAGCCAGTCTCCCCCCCCCACCCCGCCCCATGTCCGCATCCTGTTCTCTCTCTCCACTGTGTATGGGGGGGGGGGGTTTGTAGGGGGGGTTTGTAGGTGTTTCCATTCCCCATCTCTTTTCCTCTGTCCTCCCCAGGAGTTGTTTATGGAAGGTCCTAACATGACCTCTGTCAGCTGCAGCCTGTTTTCTCCAAGTTTGGTTTCCAAGGTTGGTTAGGGACCCAGTGGAAGGAAGAGTATGGTGTGTGGGGCAGGCGTCTAGGGGGAACCCGGCCGCAGGTTTATGGCTATTACGTAGCTGCAGAGGATTGCAAGAAGTCGTCTCTAATTTCCTTTCTCCCCACCCCCAGCCCCACACAATTGCACGCACACACACACAAAATATCTCCTCTTTCGGGTCTTTCTTCCGTCTTCAGTTCTTTCTGCTTTGTAGCCTGGTATGTGCCTTCGGCAAGGAGACACTGTTGAAAGAGACCGACTCTTTGCCCGCCCTCCGTGCCCCCCTCTCGGCCCCGCTTCCCAACCACTGCGTCTCCAGCGGGGTTGCAGGATGCAATTTTTTATGGGGGTGGGGGGAGACGGGGAATTTGGAAAGGGGTTTTCCTCTTAAAACAAGGAGAGGCAATTCAAGGTCACCACGGCTGGTCTCGCTGGGCAAGGCATTTTGTTGGTTTGTTTGGCAGGCCCCCCCACCCCCCATGACACCCCTCGGAAGCCAGCTGATGGAAAGACCCCCTGGAGGGGAATCATGGGGTGGTGGGTGTTCAGTGGTGGCGAAGGCGCCGTTGACCCAGTTTCCTTTTTCAGATGACTTTATGCCCAGCCATGCATGAGGGGAGAGGGGGAGAGAGCGGAGTGGAAGAGAGGAGGGGACTGGGGAGGGGTTGGCGGGGTGGGGCTGCCGTCAAGGACAGGAAGTGATGGAAGAGGAAATGACAAGCCGGCCGTGGAAGCGGCTGCCCCCCCTGCCCGGAACGGCCGCATCTCAGCCCTTGTAGCTGAGGACGGCAGAGCTGAATGGCAGAGCTAGCAGGAAGAAGGGCTTCCCTCTCGGAGTCTTTCGTGGAGGACCCTCACAAATCAACACCACCACTTCGCTTCACCAGATAAGGCCTGGGGGATTCAAGGGCCTAGCTTGAGCCCAGCAGATGGCCCTATCTCTGAGCCATGGCCCCTCCCGGAAGCTCCCTCATACCCAATCAGACCCTGGGTCCATTCGAGGCCACTACTGTCTACTCAGACTGGCAGCGGCACTCCGGGGTCTCAGGGTGAGGTCTTTCACCATCATCTAGGACAGGGGTGTCAAACATGTGGCCTGGGGGCTTCTGTCAGGCCCGCAGTGGAACCGGCTGCCCTCTGCTGCTGCTTCCAGTTCTGCTGCTGCTTACAGAGACACACCTGAACAGCATACTCAAGCTTGCGACAGCACAGACATTCTGATGCAGTAATTCAGAGCAAGAGGGGTCAGTTATCAGACACTGTTAAATAAATAAAACATTGCAGGAGTGCTGATGTTTTAAGCATGTCTTTATTTTAAGTTAAAAAAAAACCCTTTGTGTTTGTGTCCTTTGTAAAGTTTATATCTCCGCTACCTGGCGTTACCTTTTATGACACAAACGGCCCGGCCCAACAAGGTCTCATTATGTCAGATCTGGCTCTCATAACAAATGAGTTTGACACCCCTGATCTAGGACCTGGTCCTCTCAACTGGAGATGCCAGGGATTGGACCAGAGACCTTCTACATGCCAAGAAGAAGAAGAAGAAGAAGAAGAAGAAGAAGAAGAAGAAGAAGAAGAAGAAGAAGAAGAAGAAGAAGAAGAAGAAGAAGAAGAAGAAGAAGAAGAAGAAGAAGAAGGAGGAGGAGGAGGAGGAG